TCTGGGATCCCAGGAACGTGAAGTCTGTCACTACTTCCACGACTTCCCCTTCTATTTGCCAAGGAGTGATGGGGCCGGATGCCATGATCTTAGTTTTTTTGATGTTGAGCTTCAAGCCCACTTTTGCGCTCTCCTCTTTTACCCTGAGCAAGAGGCTCTTTAGGTCCTCTTCACTTTCTGCCATTAGAGTGGTATCGTCTGCATATCTGAGGTTGTTGATCTTTTCCCCAGCAATCTTAATTCCCGCTTGTGATTCATCCAGGCCAGCATTTCGCATGATGTACTCTGCATATATATTAAATAAGCAAGGTGACAGTATACATCCTTGTCGTACTCCTTTTCCTATGCTGAACCAATCAGTTGTTCCATATCCGGTTCTAACTGTTGCTTCTTGGCCCTTATACAGGTTTCTCAAGAGACATGTGAGGTGGTCTGGTACTCCCATCTCTTTAAGGACCTGCCATAGTTTGTTGTGATCCACACAGTCAAAGGCTTTAGCATAGTCAATGAAGCAGAAGTAGATGTTTTTCTGGTACTCTCTTGCTTTCTCCATAATCCAGCGAATGTTGGCAATATGATCTCTCGTTCCTCTACCTCTTCGAAACCCAGCTTGTACTTCTGGCAGTTCTCTATCCATGTACTGTTGAAGCCTAGCTTGTAGGATCTTGAGCATGACCTTGCTAGCGTGTGATATGAGTGCAATTGTGCGATAGTTTGAACATTCCTTGGCGTTGCCCTTCTTTGGGATTGGAATGTATACTGATCTTTTCCAATCCTGTGGCCACTGTTGCGTTTTCCAAATTTGCTGGCAAATTGAGTGCAGCACTTTAACAGCATCATCTTTTAAGACTTTGAATAGCTCAGCTGGAATACCATCACCTCCACTAGCTTTGTTGTTAGTAATGCTTTCTAAGGCCCATTTAACTTCACATTCCAGGATGTCTGGCTCGAGGTCAGTGATTATACCATCGTGGTTGTCAAGGACATCAAGGTCTTTCTTGTATAGTTCTTCTGTGTATTCTTGCCATCTTTTCCTAATCTCTTCTGCTTCTGTTAGGTCCTTACCGTTTTTGTCCTTTATCATGGCCAGCTTTGCATGGAACGCTCCCTTGATTTCTCCAGTTTTCTTGAAGAGATCTCTAATCCTTCCCATTCTATTGTTTTCCTCTATTACTTTGCACTGTTCACTCACTGAATGAACCACTTAACGGGGGGCGAGGTGGACGGACCTTACTTAAGGGACTGTAGAATAGGCCAGTAACTCAGATACGGATGGCCAAGACGATATGTTTGAAGAGGCATTTCGAGCACTTAAGATAACCATTCTGTACTTGTCATGTACCATTGCTACTGGGACTGTGCCTGCAACATTGGCGGGTGTTTAGCAAAGCAGACACATTGACTGCTTATATGAGGACAGAACAGAATGGTGGCTGGGAGCATCTGCACAAATGGCATTTCTCTCTGGGCAACAAAAGACACAGGCTGAGGAGACAAGCCAGGATAAGAAGCTTTGTTAGGTCCCTATTGGTTTCTTATGTCACCTGAGCCCCATAGAGTTTATACCTGCAGTACCCTCTTTGGCCATCAACAGGGGTGGTGCTGTGCTGTAGCAGCGAGCAGGCTACGTGCCTTCGCCTGTCAAAAACTGCCATGGGTGTACAAAAATGAAGGCACCTGGTTTCTGCTGCTGGAGTCCCTGGTATGACACTACCGGGGTGGTCTTAACTAATGGGCAATTGCCCTGGGCTCCACGTTGGGAGGGAGGTTGGGAAAAGGGAGCAAAAAGAAGAAAAGTGGGCTCCTGGTACCGCCTGTACCCACCCCATCAGGGGCTCATGCAGCAGGCTTGCAGTGGCAGCCCCTGCCCACCCTACACACTTGGCCCCAGCAGGGAGGGCCAGCTCACTGTGGGGTGGCAGTGATCCTGGGGCCGCATCCTGGACTTTTGCCCAGGGCTGCAGAATCACTTAGACCACCACTGGACACCTGTAGTGATGGAAGGTTTTTGTGATAAGATTAATACCTCTTTTGGACAAATCACTGTAATTTGGTGTAGTGGTTAAGAGTGGTGGACTCTAATCTGCAGAACTGGGTTTGATTCACCAGTTTTCCACATGCAGCCAGCTGGGTGACCTTGGATCAGTCACAAGTTATCTCAGAGCTGTTCTCGAAAGAGCTCTGTCAGCCCCGCCTACCTCACGAGGTGTCTGTAGAGCTGTTCTCGAAAGAGCTCTGTCAGCCCCGCCTACCTCACAAGGTGTCTGTTGTGGGGAGAGGAAGGGAAGGAGATTGTAAACCAGACTATGAGTGAAGGGCAGGGTATAAATCCAATCTCCTCCTCCTCCCCCCTCCCCCCCTCGTCGTTGTCGTAGTCCTCCTCCACCTCCTCCTCCTTCTGTTACTGGGCTTAGAGGGGCATAGGATCACACTGTCCGTTGCTGCACCAGTTTAAGCGGTCCCTGTGTCACATGCCTCCTGGGTAACAGTAACTAACTGGCAGAAGAACCGCATTCTCCCAGTGACGAAATATTGCAAATTTGAGTGTTGAGGGGGGTGCGGGGGGTGCAACAGAAGCGCTCAGTTTGCGGATGGATCTCAGAACAGCGGTGCATTTCTTGCACTAAGATAGTTTTAGATATCTGTTAAAGGTTGTTTTTATTGTTGTTACCCGCCCTGAGCCCTGCTATGCTGCTGAGGGTGGGCTTTAAATCCATTAAACAAATAGATAAGGGCTCACGGATAGGGCTGGTCGACGCAAAAGGCTGACCAGCCCTCTGAGATGGAGCAGAGTGGGCTATTTATATCTCGGTCCTCTGGAATGCTTTGCTCTAAGGGGACCATGACCAGAGCTCGCTCACCAGCTCTCTGGTTTCCCCATGAGGTCTGTTGACACCTAGGGACTGATTAGCGGCAAGGTCACATGTTGCAGCTGGCCTCCATGAGGATCTCCCTCTCTCTTTTTCTCTCATAATAAGTCAGTGCTAAGGGAATGGAAGATGTTTGCAGGTCCGGTCCTACTCACCATATGCTTGCCCTGAATTTATGTGTTTGTACGCGAGGGGAAGCTGTAGAATCCATGCTCCAGGAATTCCAGATAACTGAGAATCGCAGACTGTGTGCTTATGGTTTCAGCGATTTGGGGGTGGGATTGCAGGGCCGGTTCAAAGCAGGGTTGCCACACTCCAGCTGGGGAATACAGTCTGAGAGGACCACGGAAGCAGATTATACAACAAACAAAAATACCATGGAGAATAACAGAAATAAGTAGGCAAAAAATAATAATAATGCGTGTGTATAAATGAAAATACATTAACAATAATAAAGTCACAACTTTTCAGCATTCAGAGACTATATCAACATCAACAACAAGCATTGTGCAGGGGGTTGGACTAGATGACCCTGGAGATCCCTTCCAACTCCATGATTCTATGAGTACATATTGCATGTTAAAGTCCAGATCCATATCAAGGCAAGCCAGAACAGTCAACATGAAATAATGTTGCTCCAGCTTCTGTGCTTGATGTGAAACTGACTTTGTTGAACTCTCTGGATTTGTGACCATTATGTTCCTGTATTCTCTTCTGAAGAGAAGGGACCTTATGCAGTTCCGCAGGGCCTGTAAGATGGAGCTCTTCCGCCAGGCTTTCACATAGGGGCCGCCACTACGACCGCCACAAATGATGTGGACAACATCGGGGTTAAGGATGGCCCGGGAAGATCTGCCACAATTTTTGCGTGACTGATACCACCGGACTTGCTTGGGATCGGCTATAGGTCAACATCATCTCCGGAGAACTGTCTGTTTACCATCATGTCATACATCCGGGGACCATCTTGCGTTCAACTGAGTATTATTGTTGTGATGAATTGTTATTAATGTTTTTATTGTTTTTACCTTGTTTTATATGGGCGTTGCCCCTTGTAAGCCACCCTGAGCCCGCTTTGCGGGGAGGGCGGGGTAAAAATCCCAATAAATAAAAATAAATAAATAAAAATAAATGTTACAAAACGATTTTCAAGTCGATGCTATCGTTAAAGGAAGAAGGAACATTCATGTCTTATTGATAAGAATCACACACACAAGCACTTCATTTCTACGAACAACTTTATTTCATGTTGACTGTTACGGTCTTGCTTTGATATGGACTTGGACTTTTGCATACCATATGCATTTGTTGATATTGTCTCTGAATGGTGAAAAATTGTGACTTTATTATCGTTAATGTATTTTCATTTACACACACACGTATATATATTTTTGCCTACTTATTTTCATTATTTCCCACGGTATTTTTGTTTGTTGTGTAACCGCCGGGTGGGGCCTGGGGAATCTCCCAGGGTCGCGGCTGATCTCCAGACAACAGATATCAGATCCCCTGGAGAAGATGGCTGCTTTGGAGGGTGGAATCTCTGGCCTCACATCTCTGCCCAGGTCCTTCCCTTGGCCACACCCCGCCTTCCCCAGGCTCCACCCCCAAATCTCCAGGAAGTTCCCAACCCGGAGCTGGCAACCCTAGTCCAAGGTATTTTCTTACCCCGAGTTAGGTACGTGCATCGCCTCCTCTGTTGGTGCTGCTGCTGGGTCAGGATCGGGCCAGTGGCGCTGGGGCCCCAGGAGACAATGCCTTTGGCCTCTGGGGTCACTGATGGCCCGGAGTATGGTGCATCCACCGGCTACTCACAGGGACTCTTCAGGCCATTGCTTGGGTGTCTTAGCCATGGAACCAGCCCTGGGGGATTTAACCCGTGTATGTAACAACTTCTATTTTTCTGTCCCCTGCTGCTAACGATCATTTTCATTCAGAGCTTTTGGTTGCAATTTACAGGGTGGTTTTGCTTATACTGCCGGCCGGCCAATGGCAGCTGAATTACATTAATGGAAACTCAAACCTGCGCAAGACAGCCCCTTTAATACTTCCTAATAACTGTTGTTCAAGCTTCCCTCTCCGCTCTAAAAAACAAATTTCCTAATTATTTTGTTTGCTGTCTCTGCTTAGCTTACCAACCAACCGGTTATCTCCCTCCAACTTCGGAAGGTAATTGACTCATCTTTTTTGACTGTGTATATTTCTGGGGTCCGGATTTCTTACTCAACTTCCTGTTCGTTCAGGGACACTAACAGCACTGACAGTGCTCTTTTTGTGTGGCATGTGTCTGCTTGCTTGCACTGAAACAAAAATGTCTCCGTTTTGCTCCCAGTACGTTGTGTGGAATGCACAGGTTTGTAAAGATAAAATGTTTTGTTCCATCACTTCTGAACGCACCGACATTCATTTGAGTGGTACGTTTGAAGCTCTTTAATAGTTGTGGTGTCCAGACCGCACATAATAGGAGACTGTGCCATCCACATATCCTCCCGATATGCACAGTCACTGTTTTGTGTAGATTGGGCTATATGTGTATTTTGGACACATGAAACTGCTCTGTACAGAATCAGCCATTTGGTCCATCGAGGTCAGCATGGTCTACTCAGACTGGCGTCGGCTTTCCAGGGTCTCAGTTCAAGGTCTTTCACATCACCTCCTACCTGGTCCTTTTAACTGGAGATGCCGGGGATTGAGCCTGGGACCTTCTGCATGCCAGGCAGATGCTCTACCTGTGAGCCACAGCCCCCTCATTTTCCAGGCTTGGTATAAATGATCAGACATTAGGATTTTTTTTAAGGGTACATGTTTGCTGTAAGAAAAATGTGTGTTTGCTTGATTCGCACAAAATGGCAAAACTCACACAAACTGTGCATATCAGGAGCATTGTGGGCAGTGTTCCCTCTAAGGTGAGTTAGTGTGAGCTAGCTCACAGTTTTCTAACCTCTGGCTCACAGATTTTTGTCTTAGCTCAGGGAGGAGGGCTCCTGAGCAAACTAATTTATGCAGCAGCCCAATCGCTCGCTCACAACTTTAATGCCAGTTTGCTCACAAAGTAGGATTTTTGCTCACAAGACTCCACAGCTTAGAGGGAACATTGATTGTGGGTAACAGGATCTCCCCGATGAACACTTTGGATGCCAAAATTGTAACGGCTGAAAAGGGATTTATTATGTTAGGGTTCCCAGTCTCCAGATGGGGCCTGGAGATCTCCCGGAATCAAATTTCTAGATGACAGAGATCTCTTCCCCTGAAGAACATGGTTGCTTTGGAGGGTGAATGCGATGGCATTGTATCCCATTGACGTCGCCTCCCCAGCCTCTACCCCTAAATCTCCAGGAGTTGGCAACCCTTAATTATGTGGAATTTTTCTGGAGCAAAAGAAACTGAGGCATAGTATAGCTTTCCCAACCTGCCTCCTGTTTTTACGGAATGGACACCAGAACTTCTAGATACTTTTGTGAGTTCCTGTATTTAAAATATTTCCATCCCGTTGTCTCCAAAAACGTTTCTTGAGGGGGCTAACAAAATGAAAGAGGGGTAAATACGCATCTAATGATCGGATTCATTGAAGCAGTTCAAAACTGTTTGAGAAGCCTGACATTAAAATTAAACAAACTCAATGATAAAACAAAAATGAATACTGTCAGTAGAGTACAGTGATTCATAACAGAGGGGCAGGCCATAAGACACCAAAAGAAGATGGAGAACGTTGTTTGCTAGAACTCTGGGTGAAAAGGAATGTTTTTACCTGGCATCTAAAAGCCAAAAATGAGCTGCGGTGGCTCAAGTGGTTGACGCTGAACTGCAGGCTGTGGAAGGTCGGTAGTTCAGCAGTTCGAGACCCGGGTGCCGCATGATGGAGTGAGCGCCCATCTCTAGTTCCAGCTCCTGCCAACCTAGCAGTTCGAAAGCAAGAAATTGCAAGTAGATAAATAGGGACCACTTCGGTGGGAAGGTAACAGCGTTCCGTGCGCCTTGGTGTTTAGTCACGCCGGCCACATGGCCACGGAAATGTCTTCGGACAGCGCTGGCTCTTCGGCTTTGAAACGAAGATGAGCACCGCAACCCTAGAGTCGGACTCGACTGGCTTTCAAGCAAGGGAACCTTTACCTAAGAGCCAAAAAAGTTGGTAACAGGTTTCTAGGGGGCGGTCTTTCCACAACTGGAGTGCCACTGCTGAGAAAGTCCAGTCCCTGGTTACGGCTCATCTTAAATCCAAGAAGCAAGTTTAAAATTACATGTCTGTTATGTTGGCTGCCAACCTCCAGGTAGTACCTGGAGATCTCTGGCTATTACAATTGATCTCTAGACTACAGATATGAGTTCCCCTGGAGAAAATGGCTGCTTTGGAGGTGGACTCTATGGCATTATACCCTGCTGCAGGGCTCTTTTTGTAGAAGAAGCCCAGCAGGAACTCATTAGCATAATAGGCCACACCCAACAGCAGGAACTCATTAGCATATTGGGCCTCACCCCTGACAGCACAGCTCATTAGCACATTAGGACCCACCCCCATGTTACCAGAAGTGTGCTCATCCAGCCACACCCACCTTTTGCTTGTTATTCTGTTTACCTTGTTTGTTGTCAAAACCCTGGGCCTTTTTTTGTAGCAGGAACCCTTTGCATGTTAGACCACACACCCCTAATGTAGCCAATCCTAATGAGTTTCTGCTGTTGGGTGTGGCCTATTATGCTAATGAGTTCCTGCTGGGCGTGGCCAACTTGGGAGCCAGCCGGAACTCCATTCCTGTGCGTTCCTGCCCAGAAATAGCCCTGCCCTGCTGAGGTCCTTCCCCTCTCCAAACCCCGCCCTCCCCAGGCTCCACCCCCCAAAAATCTCCAGGTATTTCCCAACTCATAGCTGACACCCAATTCGATAAAGCTTAATTGAGGAATTTCATGAAAGCTGCATACATTTGCTCACGAGGGGGGGAATCATCACTCTAAGGGGGGGGAACCTTGCTTTTTTATTAGAAGAGTCATTATTTTCTTACATGTGTGGGAGGACAGGCCTCTTCTAAGAAGGTGCTTGTCGTCTTTTCATAAGCACTTGTCTTTTCGTAAGTACTTGCATTGTAAAAACCCTGTGCCTGATTGACCAGCAGCATCTTTCTGATCAATCACACTGTTTCCGATCAGTTGGTTAAATGTTGCAATCCTATGTCGATGTGCGTGCCAGATGCCCGGCTGATGAAGCGCAGCCAAATTGGCATTGCATGGGCCGGGGTTAGGAAGACATCTCGGTTTGGTCTGGAGTTAAAGAGAGCTCTCTGTCATCTGCTTGCTTTCTAAAATGGCCCCTTTATCGACTGTGGAGAGTCAAAACTTAGAGTAAGGGCCCCCAACCATTTTGAGCCTGTGGGCACCTTTGAATTTTTGAGAGGGGATGGTGAGATGGCTGCCATAGGAGGAAGAGGCAAATGAAATACCTCCATACCTCCTGGGAAGAAGGAAAGCCTAACGAGAGAGCCTAAAGGGGTCACTGAGCATGGGGGGGGGAGGTATTTGTTAATTTCCTGCATTGTGCAGGGGGGTTGGCTAGATAACCCTGGAGGTCCTTTCCAGCTCTATGATACACTAAGGAAAGCCCAGGGGGAAAGAACAAGCCCTGCCTTACAATAGCTCCACCCTCTTTCTGAAAAGTTTGGCGGATGCAGGGGTCATTTCCTGCAGGAGCGCACAGGAGCGGAGCTCCGGCAGTAAAGAGCCCAGGGGGCAGGCATATGCAACAAGCCCCACCTCCTGCTCCCAGCAGCCCCGGGCCTGAGGGACATTTGATTGGGGGTTGTTGACTGAAGAAAGAAGGGGTGGGGAAGAGGAGAGGCAACGGACTTCATTGCCTACTACCTTTCTTTCACAGAACAACTCCTTTGGGTTGCCCTCCACAGCCAACAATGCATCTCTGATCTCGTGCGGGGCCACTTCCGCTCACTGGGTTCGAAGCCTGATGCCATGCATGGACACAAGGCTATGCATGAAGATTGCAAGAGAGTTTTGTGGCCCTGGAAAGGATGGACATTGTGAGAAGTCCGTGTTTGTGCCCAGCCCCTGCATTAAAATAAAAAGTTTCATTCTCTGTGCAAATGAACACATAGAACAGGTTCCAAGTAGCACGGGATGGAGGCGATATCCGCTCCCCCCCTCGGCTGCTCATGCAGCCATTTAAGTCTGGATGAACCACACCTAAGGAGTAAGGGCCAAACTGGATGAGCCCCAGATCCACCACGAGGGATGCGCTACCATTTTAAAGCCTGGATTTGTACTTTCAAAATGCAGCAGGGCCCAAATGTTGCCAGGGACCGCTTTGTGGACAAATGAGGGGGTGCTTCCTCCCCCCATGCCATTTTCAAGAGCCTGAACATCTCTTGACTCTGTGGGACACATGCTTAGGATCACACTCCCCCTCCATTAGTGGCTATATTCCCAATTGGAAATGGTCATTCTTGGGCTGTTTAAAATCATGGTATGGGAGAAGACATTCCCTGGACTCCCCTCAGTTGCCAACCCAAACTTCCCGTTGCAGATCTCCAGTATCGTGGGTCTTTCTGCCCTAAAGCTCCCCCTCCAAACCGCACTTAGCTTTGTAGAGGAGGGAGAGGGATTAGGGATGCCAACCTCCCTGTGGTGGCTGGAGATCTCCTGGGATTACAAGGGATCTCCAGGGGACAGAGATCAGTTCCCCTGGAGAAAATGTCCGCTTTGGAAGCTGGATTCTTCCCCACTGCAATCCCTACGCTCCCCAAACCCTCACCTTCCCAGACTCCACCCCCAAAATCTTCAGGAATTTCCCCAACTCGGAGCTGGCAGCCCTAAGAGGGAGGAAAGATGGATGCACCCTCCTTCCCCAAGGCCGCTGATTAGCACAAAACACAGCAAAAGGGTGTGGTAGTCAGCGTCACCGCCAAGCCCACGTCAGGCTAGTTTAACCCCCCATTTTGTTTATAGGCACAAAGGATGCAGATAAGACCGATCTTTTCCCAAAGGATCAGGATTTCTCAGTCGAATGCAATTTCGCATTTCTTCCGCTACCTCACCCCAGTTTCTAATTTCCGCTTCTCGCATTATTCTCAGGAGCACCTTCTGCACAATCATTGCGCAGCTGACGGAGGAGACGCAACCACTGTTTGAAACGACCCTTAAATCTTATGCTGTGTCTGAGGATGCCAGTGCCAAATTCACATGCGTCGTTACAGGTAATTAACAAAAACGGGGATTTTGGTAGTTGGCTAGTGGCAGTTCGAAAGCAAGAAATTGCAAGTAGATAAATAGGTACCCCTTCGGTGGGAAGGGAACAGTGTTCCGTGCGCCTTGGTGTTTAGTCATGCCGGCCACATGACCACGGAAATGTCTTCGGACAGCGCTGGCTCTTCGGCTTTGAAACGGAGATGAGCACCGCAACCCTAGAGTCGGATTTGACTGGCTTTCGAGCAAGGGAACCTTTACCTTTACCTTTAGTGGCAGAACACGAGGATGGTGCTAAGGAGAGAGAGTAAGGGTGGATCTCTCTTACTCATATAGGGCACTTTCACACACACACGGAATAACACACGTTCAGTCCACTTCCAATGCATTTTGCCACTGGATTTTACTGTGTCAAATGTCAAGATCCACTTGCAAATGGTCACTGGATTGAAACTGCATTATTTAGCATGTGTGAAAGGGCCTTATAATAGTTTCGTTATTTTAGAATTGTATAAATGATATTTTATTATGGGTTTATTTTTATTTATCGCTGGGACCCAAGGCAGATTACAAGACTGATGAAAGGTTCAGTCAACCAGTAGGCAGATTACAAAATATGAAATAAAACAGTTATGTAGGTGGCCTTGGGCACAGCCACTTGGTATACAAGAACAGTAATTTTAAGATCTGTATTCCCGTCTGATATTCCCATAGTGCTTGTAAAAAGTCACACATTTTGTCTGTTTCTTTCAAAAGTCAAGAACCGTTACTGGTCAAGGCGAAGTTTAATTGACATTTAACGTTTTCAGATGTAGCATCGCCAGGCCTCTGCTGTATCTTTTTGAAGCCGCATTTTGGCTATTAAAAATAGTAACCAAAACCAAAGCATTTAACTATTTGGAATCTAAACCTTAACCCCTTCAAATAACGAATTAACAGAGAGTATGGAAATAGCGATGTTTGTAACTGGATTAATTTGTGGAAATAGCAATGATTGTAACTGGATTAATAAAATCCAATTTTTTTTTTGCCAAAATTGCTTTCTTATGGAGGGTGTATTGAGTTGCATCTCTGCCTCTGTATAATTGCAGGCTTGTTCAACCTCATTTTGCCTCTGAGCTATGTGGGGCAGAGAAAGGAAGTTTAACCCTTCAACTTCTATTCAGTGTGGTTAATCGAAACCAACGTCCCCACTGTGCATTAGCATTTTATATGGGAGGGGGGAGTTTGTCCTTTAAAAACAAGTATTTTTTCCCCTTTAAATTGTTAATAAAACAAGGGATCCTGCTTTCAGTCAGTGAAATGAATAGAAGTTGAAGGGTTAACCTCCCTTCTCTGCACAGCTCCAAGCCAAATTGAGGCTGCAGAGATAATTTTTTATATACAGGTAGGGATGGATGATCTTTGGTCTGGTCCATTTTTGCTCTGAAGGAACTTCGTGATAGAAATACTAGCACGTTCACATATCTGCCACATTCACGTGTAAAGCAGGGTTGGGGCTGGATATGAGTGTGGCTTTAAAATCAAAAGAGACATGCACAAAGAAATCTGATCTTTACCTTCCCATCCCCATCATAGTTCCCCATACTTTGGGGCTTGGGGCAACAAACTACTTGGAGGTAAGTTTAAAGAGTCGTCATAGTCTTTTCCCACTTCTTTTGATGTTAAAATCGGACACTTCCCCTGCTTAACATCTGAACAGTACAGCTGTTTGAACAAACATGGCTGCCTCCATTGTGTCTAGTTTGGCCTGAGACCTTGTTAAACTGGGAACGTGGGTTGTCTGTACGATCTGCTCAAGATCTATGCTAGCTTCGCCAGTGACTTCTCATTCCTCACAGCCAGGGCGTCTATGTGCCGGTAAAAGACTATTTGACAGTTCCCATAGAGGGAAGCAGTCCTCTGACAAACCTTTAGAGAAAAAAGAACGTCAGATTCTTATAAATGCGTCCTAATGAGAAGGTTTAGATTTCCCAAATTAAGCCAGCGCTTTTATGCAACTTATTCTGGGTGCAGCTCTGGGATTTTGTTGGCATCGAATTGCATTTTATTTCATGTGTCCTTTTGGCTCAGAGCACGAATGGCTCTATCTGTACTTTGAGCCCACTGTAAGCCGGACCGTGGGTGTGCCTGAAGTAACCCTCCCCCACAGTGCTCTCATCTGTTTTTTCGGCTGCTTGCCCTTTGCCCTCCTGCTGAGCTTGGAATCTCCTTGACCGGCGCTGTTGCAGGATTCTCCCTCTGTCGACCCTACTCCTTTCACTCCTTGGCCAGTTGCTTTATTCAAAGTTCTTGAACAGCCCTAAAAGCCAAGTAAAAATAGCAGCTGCTAAATGCATGTGTGGCTTTTCCCATCTATCCCAACCATTTACAGTCTCCGCACCCCTTCCGTTTCAAGTACAAAAAGTATTTCCTTCCTTCGGGGAGGCACGGCGGGCATCTTTGGACCCGGCCATCTTGCTCGCAGTCACTCTGACCTGTTCAGCTATTGCCTTTTATTATGCTTATGCTAATTTGCTGCTTATCCTCTACCTGTATGTATGGACTGATAACTTCTATTCCCCTGTATCTGAAGAAGTGTGTGTGTGCACACAAAAACGTGTACATTGACTAAAACGTCTTAATTTTTTTTTTAATTTGTGGGTATTTTGTGTGTATGCTTGCATGCCTGGAAGACATGGCGACTTGTGGCAACCCCTAGTGGGGTTTGGATGTTTCAGAGAGGTGGCTAACTATTGCCTGCCCCTGCATCCTGGCCCTGGTATTCCTTGGAGGTCTCCCTTCCAATTACTTTCCAGGGTCAGCCCTGCTTAGCTTCTGAGATCTGACAAGATCGGGCTTGCCTGGGCTATCTAGGTCAGGCACCTTGAATAAAATTTTGTTGGTCTTAAAGGTGCCGCTGGTCTTGAACTTTGTTCTACTGCCCCATGTGTAAGTCTCTGAACTGATGGCAGCAAATTAATTCTACCCTACCAGAGGGAGCTTCAGCAAGGGCTGGATGGACATGGTGGTTAGAAACTTTCTTGTCTGGCTGTGTTCAACCAGAGAGAAACTGTAGTGAAGTTTAAACATACACAAAAATAAGCTCTCCTTCAAATAGAAGCCTTCTCACTCCTGGCTCTTGCTTGTGGACTCCCTTGAATATGAATGTGGACTTTCCCAGGTAGCATCAACCAAGAAAGCCTGCCGAGACCTCACGAGACTCCCTTATGAGATCTCGGCTGCCCATTTAGGTCACCTAGGCAACTGAAAAAAACCATTGCTGAGGCCTGGAGCCAGAGGGGAGGAAATGCAGGCCAGGGAAGAGGGACATCCCCTTTCCTGTTGAGTTCCCCTGTTGGGTCTCCTGCTTTTCAGCGTTGGCATTTTGTATGGGAGCATCCCAAACCCTTGATATTCTACCGCAGGCCTGTTTCATTTATGTCTAACAATCGAGTGGCTAGATTCGAGTCCAGTAGCACCTCAGAGACTAAACAAGACTTCCGGGATATGAGCTTTCCCCCCTTTGGGGTCTTCTCGTCTTCTTCTCGGTACACCAAACGTTGCCTTTTTTGTTGTTGTTGTTCAGTCGCACAGTTGAGTCCGACTCTTCGCGACCCCATGGACCAGCTCCCGCCAGGCCTTCCGGTCTTCCGCCGTCCTCTGAAGTTGGCTCAATTTCATGTTCGTTGCATCGATGACACTGTCTAACCACCTCATCCTTTGCCGTCCCCGTCTTCTTTGACCTTCAATCTTTCCCAGCATCAGGGTCTTCTCCAGTGAGTGCTCCCTTCTCATTGGGTGGCCAAAGTATTTGAGCTTCAGTTTCATTATCTGGCCTTCCAGGGAACAGTCAGGGTTGATTTCTTTGAGGATTCACTGATTTGATCTTCTTGCAGCCCAAGGGACTCTCAAGAGTCTTCTCCAGCACCATAGTTCAAAAGAATCTATTCTTCGGCGGTTGGCCTTCCTTATGATCCAACTCTCGCAGCCATACATGACTACTGGGAATACCATTGCTTTGACCATGTGGACTTTTGTTGGCAGGGTGATCTCTGCTTTTTATCATGCTGTTCAGGTTCGCCATCGCTTTCCTCCCAAGGAGCAGGCGTCTTTTAATTTCATGGCTGCTGTCAGAGTCTGCGCACTTTTGAGAGTGGAACTTTGACTCTCGAAAGGTCAAACCCTGACGGTCTTGTTGGTCTCTAAGGTTCTCCTGGACTCGGATCTATGATTGACTGACAACAGAGGGCTGAATCTCTCCATGTCTTTCCCCCCAGTGATGTCTCTTTGGCTTGGGGACGGGCCTCCCTTTGCACCCGCTTCACATCAAGTTAATTCAGTGGCACTTGGCTGTGATGCCGGGCAACTGGCATCCTCTCCCTCCAGTTGCGGGATGTGACTCATTCTCTCGCACTCAAGAGTGTTGTTAGGAGAGGCTTCCAAAAAGTAGCCCTAGCAACCGCTGCCTATTCTCGGTCGGGCCTTAGATCACAGTCTCGCCCTGTAGCAAACAGTCCCTTCAAAGGGACCACCTGCTGGTGGCTGTGTGAATGGGTCAAGCAGCTGCCTCGCCCCTGCCAGGAGAGTCGTCATTCGTGGATCGTTAAAGCGGCTGGTGTGCCCTGACCTGGATGACCCGGGCTTGCCGAATCCCGTCAGACCTCCTCGGAAGCTAAGCAGGGTTTGTCCTGGTTAGTACTCGGATGGGAGACTGTCAAGGAAGTCTTTTGTTGTTGTTGTTGTTCAGTCGCACAGTCGAGTCCGACTCTTCGCGACCCCATGGATCATCTCCCGCCAGGCCCTCCTGTCTTCCGCCGTCCTCTGAAGTTGACTCAATTTCATGTTCGTTGCATCGATGACACTGTCTAACCATCTCATCCTTTGCCGTCCCCGTCTTCTTTGACCTTCAATCTTTCCCAGCATCAGGGTCTTCTCCAGGGAGTGCTCCCTTCTCATTTGGTGGCCAAAGTATTTGAGCTTTAGTTTCCTTATCTGGCCTTCCAGGGAACAGTCTAGGGCTGCTATATAG